GGAGTCACGCAGAGGTCGCATGCTTTCTGCTTCACAGGTAACAACATTTACTGGAATGTTTTTTTTAAACTAGCGACAGTCTCTGCGATATGGTGTAAAACTACCCTGAAATGTATGTATGTACTGCCCCCTAGTGTCAAGAAACTACACACTGCCACTTTAATACAGGCTGGTTAGTTGAGAAAATATACACATAATTAACCTTTTTATGAATATTTAAATAGACCTGTGAAGCCCTGTCCATGTGCAGCTGAGGTAGCTACCAAAACTAAGGCCGGAGATTATGAAACTAAAGAAAAGAAGGGAAAATTAGATACATGGAAACAACAAAGGTGTGCTGAGGCCAGTCGGTCTAAATGAAAAATGGATAAAAACTTTCTTTTCAGTTAGCTTATGCAGTGGAAGGCAGGAGCGGACTGGTTTGGATGCAGATGTTATTGGAGAAGGCGGGGTTAAAAATTGTACACAGTACTGACTTTGTCAAAGATTTTTTAGTCGATTTATATAATAATCATCCACCACTTATTATTTTGCAGATTACAGAAAATGCAACCAAACTATTTTCTTCCATTAAAAAAAATTATATCTATCTATCTATCTATCTATCTATCTATCTATCTATCTATCTATCTATATATATATGTATATATATATATATATATATATATATATATATATATATATATATATATATATACACACACACACACACACACACAGTATATCTAAGCTCATCCTAGGACAGTGAGAGGTCTTTTGTTACTTTATCAACAACAACAACTCCAGATAAGACTAAGCAGGCTGACGTAAAACTGTGCACCTCCTACACCCCACCCCCACACACACTATGTTAAGTGAGAGGAAGTGACATCTGCCTGATTCCAGATTGCTTTGTCACCGATAAATGTGAAATGAGGTAAAAGGTTAAATTTACAGCCCCGAGCTAACAGCAAAGCCGCTGTGTCACTTTCCATAAAGTCCAAATAAAACTGTCTGCCACAGGAAATCCAGAACGCGCACCAGCTGGTGGAGTTGAAGCTGTGAGACATTTGCTCTGTTCGCAATATGGTTAGTGGTCATTCATAACGTTCTGTCGGGCCATTACACGTCATTAGCAGTCTGTCTGGCCCATCACAGCTTATTTGTTGGTGCTTGTTGAGTTAATGATTTTTCTAGCTGTTCTGTTTTGTATAGAAATGAGTGTGATGGTGTTAAAGGTGACTCAGTTTGTTTAGTTCCATGAAGATTCCAAGGAAAAAAAAGAACATAAACATCTGTTAAAAGAGCTTTTCCGTCTTCTGTCTCACTTCTCAAAGACAAGAAGATAGCACGGGCTCCTGAAGTGTTATTGAAGGCTGGTAAATATTAAAAATGGTCCAAGGAGGAGCTGGGGGCATTACGTTTCAGGTAAAAGATCAGCTGATTTGTTGCTCTTTTCTCTGTGACTGGTGTTACAAGGTTTTGTGGTTTGTGCAACTTCTGAGTTTATTTGAATGTAATCATGCTGTTGTTTACGAGCCATTTCAGATCGTGTCACAAGGGAGATGAAATTCCACAGAAGTTCCCTTCACCAGGTCCATTTCCAGTCAGAAGAACAATAATTGCACTTTTGGAAAATCTCCAAGTAAAGAAAAGCAGTGCCATCCCATTTCACTGTAAGCAGCGCGCTGTGACTCATCTCAGCAGCTGACATGTTTCAACACTTCTGACACGACCCGGTGATTTCTTTAGTGTATAGTCAGGGATCGTTAAATGAATGACACTAGTGTATCAGTTAACATGCACTGCTTCACTGTAGGGATATACAAAGAGTTGGAAAACACAAAAAATTTGCTTATTAAAGACTTAAAAAAATTAATTATCAGTTCAGCTCTCAGAAAAAAGTGATAAAATCAAAGGCAATAATAGGTAAACATGTTTCAGCTGCGTTGAATACGTATAACCAAATCATAAACACTATGTAATAAAAAGTATGGATGGTTATTTTAGGACGACAGGAAACAGATATCCTGTATCACTAAGGACTGTATCTAGCTGTTAGCTCATCAATCTTGTCACAACAACATTCCCCAACCTAAGGTTGTTCACAGCCGTATGTACAGCAGGCTTCCTCCTAAGGACTTGTTCTTTCTACAGAACTTCACTTCAAAAGATCTGAACTGGTGCTTTAAGTTAATCATTCATTCATTTCAGATGTTCAAAGGATATTCATAAAAAATTCAGAAATCTCACTCAAAGCTGATAAATGAGAACAGAAAAGACGAATCCAAATCCCTTTGTCCAGCTCAGATGTTTATTTATATGGCTCAATCAGCTGAACTTAATTAATTATTATTTTTTTCTCCAAATAATTATTTTACTCAAATGTTAACTAACTATCATCAAAACTTCAGGATGATCATAACAGACAGTTTACTAAGGCTAAGGTGCAGAAGAGAAGACAAACAAGGAACAAAGAGAGAGTGAGGCAGGTTGCGGAGTGTGGTTGTGCTGAGGAATGAGGAGGACAAACTT